AAAGTTATTTTTAAAAGAGCTTTCTGTGATTGTTGTGACCATGGACCCTGTGTCCAGCAAACATGAAATAATAACCCCACCCAAATCAACCTCCCCTTCCAAGCATTCACCAACTAGATGACTGAGTTCTACATTATTGGAGCCTTGCAACCCTCCCACCAGTGTGTGGCTCTGTGGACTGGTGGGTACTAGTTTTCCGCCACCTTAGTAGTTTGGCCATCAGCCCTAGCTGCTCTTTCATGCTGATTTCTATCAGAATTGGGTAATGTCGGGCAAAATCGGGCAATATGTCCAATTTGCTCACACCTAAAACAAATGGGTTTACCATTCACCGTTCTTCTACGTCGAGAAGTGTGATTGCTAGAAGCAGCCACCTCCTGTGGGTTTAATGCCTTAATGACCAACTCTAATTTTGTCTGTTGGGCTTTAACAACTCCACCACGATAAGGTAGTATTTTTTAATATGAATAGTAAAAAGACAAAAAAAGGAAAGGAGGAAAAAACCCCAATGAAAACAATTTAAAAAACCCAACATGTTAATATGCCCTTTCTCCTTTGTCTGTCTGGATATTTTAACAGCTTCTTATTAATTATTATTTGAACGTTTATCATTTTATTTCTTTCTCGATTTATATATGCAAGAAGCAAAATTCATAATTTTTTACAACCGTTTGGAAGTTTTAACTTGGTAGATTTTCAAAATAAATGTAGCTAGTTCATCAAAAGAAATTTTCCGAAATGAAAAATAACCTATTATGAACAAAACAATTATAGACGTTGCTTTTTGATGAATTATGAGACATTTTTATTACACACTGTTGGCAAATAATTAATGTCACAGGAGTGACAGTACATGTGTTTTCAGGAATAGAACGGAAGTATTTTACTTTGGCAGTGACTAGTTGGTCATGAAGTTTTCTTTCCGGGCAAAGTGTTCTGGCTTCCGTGTTGTTAACAGGGTTTAGCTAGTCCAATGTAGTGTATGATGAGGCCCGGTTAAGTAACGACAGAATTTGGGGAACTTTGAAGAGCCATAGGGATTATCGTTGATCAAGCATCCTTAAGACTTTCTGACCCGCGGGCAGGTCCGTATCACTCCCAGACCGCTCTCCTTCAAACACGATGAAGCTTTAACTTACCGCCGACTCACCCTCTGTAATGTTTACAGTTTACAGGTTTTATGCTGGGGGATAAAAGCCTTCGCGAGTTATCCTTCGTTTTTATGTTTAGTTGAGCTTAATATAAATAAATAGATTTGAGCCATTTAGTCTCCCGCCTGTGAGCGATCACATGATATTACATTGGCTTTTGCTAATCTGCGAGTATGTGTTGGTCGACGGCTAAGCTACCTGTGCTATCGGGTTTCTCTGTGTTCACCTAACCCTAACCTAACATCACCATAACATTATAACCCCGATTGTTACTGAGCTACCTCGGTGTTTATTTAAAGCAGGATATTGTGGGTGTGATTTAACAGAGATCCGAGGTAAAGCAGAAGCGGATGTCTTCATTAAAGCCTCGATGCTGTTGTGGAAGTTTCAGGTCAAAAATGTCAGCATTGGTGTGTTCACCTGAAGATAAGTTGGATATATTATTGGATTAATTCATAAAGCCATTAGTGGTCATGCCATTAAAATTGCTAAATGTGACTTGGTGTGTCACTCCATCTCACATCATCAGCTTTGTTCAACATTTTCTGCTCGACCATGCCCGATTTGCCAGAACTTTGTCCAAAGTTTGGACACATGTAATGATTGCTATGAAATTTTACCCTCATATATCAAGTATTAGCAGTAGGATTCAGGTTAGGGGTAGGGTCTTATAATGGACTATTAGTCACACCTCATGTGCATCACATCCTGGCCTTGCAAGGCTACTCTAGTGAAATGGATCAATGAAAATGAAATATTTAATATATTTAACACAATTTATTATCTCTGTTATATTTAGAAAGCCATCTGGAAACTTTAGAACTGTGTTTTGTCCGGAATAGACTGTTTTTGTGATAAAACTTATCATATTTGCGTAATCCAGCACAAAAATTGGATGAAAATGGCATTAATTTAGCATTCTTTTGGACATCATCTACAATGCAATTCAATCTACAGTTCACAAATGATCACTAATTGTCTTTTGCAATGTAAAGCTTTTGCTCAAATGTGCGACTTTATTGGGCTGCTTGATGTTTTATTGTCTGTCTTTCTTTCTTTCTGAACTAGCCTGTTCTCGACATTTTTTGATGTATCTCTCTCAAATTACAGATCCTGGTTTACTAGTACAAAGTTCAGGCGTTTATCTTCAGTGGTTTTTCATGTTCAAATATTTCTTCATTTTTTAATGTATGGAAAAAACAAAAAAGTATCTAGAAGAGTATTTGGTATATGAGGCCCAATTTTTATAGCAACCATTATATATGTCCAACCTTTGGACCATAACACGGTGAATTGAGATGGAAATAAATGCTTACACATACACAAAGATGAAAGATAAGACAAGACTGTAGTGATCTGCTGACCTATTTGTAGTGATTATTAGCTGCTGCTGATGTGGGTGCAAAGGTCACGAGGACTGCTTTATCCTCTGTTGTGTAAACCGATAACAACATAAACTTTTACACTTTACTCCTCACACATTTCATCTCATCTCCTGCCTTTTTACCCCCCATTTGTACAGGAACTATGAATGCAAGCACATAGTTTACCTAGACTGACTTTTACGAAAGCTTAAGTCAACCGGACTAACCGGTGTTAAGTGCCCGAAGCGTACTAAACACTTTGTTCCGGACATCTGTTTATTTTGTACTTAAGTGCAAAGCAGCTGGCTGTAGCTATAATCTTCCCTATTTCTGTCTAATTAATATATTAAATTTAAAAAAAAAAAAAGGATTTAAAACCAAGCTTTATACTAATCTAATCCTTTTTTTCCAATGTAACTTTCTCTGTTTCAGATTTTTTATTTTTATTTTTATTTATTTTTTTAGATCTCACCCACAAGTCACATCTGATGGGCCAGCAGTTAACAGTTGTTAGCAGTTGTTAACGTTCTTAGTGTCTGTACGTGGAACCTCAGCCAGCAATGGCCACTCATTTCCGTAGCTACATCTGGGACCCGGTCCTCATCGTGTGCCAGATCGTGCTGATGCAGTGCATCTACTACAGCTTTTTGGGTCTGTGGTTGGCTGGAGTGGACAGCCTTGTGCAGAGTAGTCGGTCATTGGACCAGATCTTCAACTATCAAGTAAGTTTTAAGATATGGGTGCGTGTTTATGCATTTTTGTGTCGCATATTCGCTCTCTTAAAACTGTATTTAAATGTTTTCTCTGCTTTGGTAGGCTCTCGGTTTTGCAACCGTGCAAGGCAGGCTCTCAATGATGGCATTCATCTTGAATTCTCTTACCTGGTGAGAAATATCATCGGTCATTTTTCTGTACATCATAAATGGATGAGATTTGTGTGACAGCCAAACAGCATCCTGTTTTTCAAGCATCCCATGAGGCATTCATTATAAAGGGGTGTTTAGACCTTATTTACACCTGTGCAGTTACACATTTCGTTAAGTGTAAAGGTTGAAAATTTTAAATGTTTGCGTAGAAAATGGTCGACATTTAATGTACAGTGATACTCCTTTAGTCAGAGACTGAAACACCCTCGCTGCAGGAAGGAGCGCTTTCGCAGATCATTCATCCCAACAGCAGTTAGACTCTATAACTCCTCAATCACGATGTCATAAGTCACTGGTCACTGTGAACATCCACGGTAACCACCTCATGCATAATGGACCTTCCATGACCTTCCAAGCTATATAGTTTATGTCTTCCATATTTCCAACTATATCCATAATCACATACTGTGTATGCTACCATTGTATATAGTGTATTATCTTACTTTTTTTCATTGATTGTACTTATTTGTATTTTTGTATTTCCTTCATATATCTGTACCTAAGCTGAGGTGATGCAAAAATTTCCCCGTTGTGGGATCAATAAAGTCTTATCTTATCTTATCTTATCTTACTCAAACTTTGGCATCTTTTCCGTGTCACTGTTCCTGCAGCGCCCTCGGTCTGTGGTTCTTCATCCGCCG